ACAGTTCAGTGTCCTTTGTCATCTCCGAACATTTAATGATGGAGAGATGGGGTTCAACTAGTTCTCTCAGGTCTGTTTTATCAAGGGAAGGTGGCTGTTGTGGAAGTAACAACAACAGAACTGTGTGCAGTTTCATTGAGACAGAAAAATGACCTCCTTTCTAATTGATCTATGTAGCAGGCTGTAGTAAGCAGGCCAGGCAGGTCACCTAGCATGGCTTTCACTGGGGCATGGCAAGGGTGAAACTATTTTCACCATATGAAGTAGCTCAGTAGTGACATGCATCCACATTGACACTTAAATCAGCAGAGGATCAAGCAATACCGCCAGCCCTGATGTATGTAGAAGCCTCTTCTGAACACTTCCAGGAGTTTCTGCTTAATCACAGCATGCAGGAATTCAACAACGGGGCCTTCTTTCACATCAGTGCTCGTGTATCCAAGATGTCCAACTTGATTCCTGATTTACCAGCTCAACTGCACACTCAAAAACTACTGAGGGAGGTTGCTGTGTATTTTCTCTGCACTTCTTTTCCTTCCTGTCTTGTGGTGAGTCAAGAAAGCATGCTTCAAGCTCCTGACCCCTGCCTTAGCATGGTTATTAGCAAAAGGTAGTACTTTGGAGTCTGGACTGACACCATGCAGTCAACATAAGAGAGGGAGGCAATGGTATCACGTGCGTCACATTTATGAACTGTAGGAAAGGCTGAGAGGGGCACACAGGTGTTGCCCTTCTACCTGCAGCTCCATGTTGCAACAGACTGTAAGTAGTCATTTCATAGCCAATCTGAAAACAGAAACTTTTCATGCCACACAAATACGCATCTCCCCAAAGGAACAGCATGTGTAAGCTTGCCTGCTATTAAATGCCTGGGCCTGGAATTCTCCAACCAACAAGGATGGCAACAACTCCCTCCCTGAGGCCTGCAGGGCTTTTCCTTTGAGCCAAGTGACACTGGGTGGAAGGTGATGTTTATGAGCAGATTAGTCCCTGAATCTCTGAGATCATTGATAATGTCAATTTTGAAGTCTATATTTCACCAGCCCAAATCATCTTCTGCCATGAGTTCCCCCACGACATGGGCCTCTGCTAATTTTCAGTTGAGAAGAAAGTTGCAAAGTCAACCAAGAATCCCAAAGAATATGCACTTCCCTGTAACAGGGGCAGGAACAGAGCAGGTAGCTGGATTGCTTTTGTTTAATCAAGCACTTCTGCAAAACCTTCAAGATACATTTGGATGCTTAGCTTGCTGGGATCCTATGATCCCTGCTGACATCCTACCCCTGGGGCAGGGGGCTGGACTCGATGATCCTTCGGGGTCCTTTCCAGCCCAAATGTCGATGAAATCTATGAAAAACTTCAAGGCCAGCAAGCAGATCATCTAAAATATAATGGGAAATTCAGCCCAATTCTGGCTTCCCCAAGCATGCACCATGTATTGGCAGACCCAGACACAGCCGTGGGTGAACCAGGAGGCTGCCCGGGGCCTGGACAGAAGGAGGCCCAGAAAGTGTGTGTGTGGGGGGGGGGGGGGGGGGG